GGCAGACGTTCATCACTTCCTGCATTTCCCCATTTCCCGCGAAATGTTCGTGTGACGTCAGACAGTCTGCGCTCCCTATATGCTGTACCATTTATGCTTTTTGCACATTATCTTATTCTGGGGCAGAAGAAATGAAAATTGAATTATTGAAGCCTGGATTCTACCTTTCCTCTCATCTAATCATATCATGCAGTGTTTCATCTTGTTGTCTTCGACATTTCAAAATTGGGTAGGTGCGGGACAACACCAGCGACAGCAATGCGCTTTTCTGTTTTGATAGCATTCGCGTCATTTTTATTGCGCGAGGCTTCATGTGCCATATTGCGCTTGCGGTATAAAGTGGACTAAATGCTCCAGCGTCTGAGACAGTAAAGAAAATGACACATTCGGTCTCTTGAGCCGCTTGCACCCTACTGCTGTAACGGAAAATAAATGGGAACGCTGACCTTTATCCGGATGATTCAGGATCATGATCCTCCGGTGCGCGTCTCGTACCTTTGTCTTGCTGCTGGTCGGGCTGCAAAAATGCACGCAGACAGTTTAAAATAAGCTTCCCCAGGAGCCAGTCTTTAATGCACACACCAAACACACGCTTGGAACACACCCATACCCCCTGAATACGTTCCACAAAGGCAACACACTGGGAACTAACGAGGCTTATTCCTTTAACTAAACCTCTCCTATGAAGGTGATTAATATTAAAAATGGCCAATTGGTATTACTAGGAAACGAAGAAATCCATCAGTGCGAAATACTACATGCTTTACTGCTCCGCTCCAAGCTGAACACGCAGAGTGCCACAGCACACAGGAAGGATCCAGAACACAAACCCTCAAACTGAGAGATAAGCCAGCCTGAGCCTTGTGACACAAACAGAATTAACCCCTAAATAACAGGATACCTGTACCAACACACTGTGTGAAGTTCTCCTGCGATACATATATAGAACTGAGCAAAGCCCTTTACGTGCGTGTGAGTGTGTGTGTTTGCAGAGTGGCTGTGTTTAATATCTACAGAGTGTGCCTTTTATAGAGAGAGTGTGGTAGTAGGCTCGCAGCGTTTATGCCCTTCGTATGTGGCTTTTACAGGCACTGCCTATGGGTGTTAGTAAACCGGCTGTATTGAATCTACTGCACATGTGGCTTCAATAGGTACAGCCTGCATCTTAGCAAACAGGCCGTGTTTAGTAAGCACTGAGCAAGTGTTTTCATGCAAACCTGTGTTTTTCACACATGAGTGCAGTTTTACCTTTGCTTCATTTCTCTGAGAGATGAAATTTGGGGGGTTTTGCGAAAAGACGTTTCCATTTAAAATTGACAGGATGCATCCAGGGGGCGCATCTCCTCTTTAATCTGCACTGTAGTGAAATAAAAACCACCCAGACGGGAGTGAGGCCTGACCATTAGGCTCGCATCCTATTGGCTGATGGAGCAGACCAGACCTTGGCGATGAAAACGTGACCTACAAATGGGAACACTGTGGAAAGACTTTGCGACATTTTGGCTTTGGACAGCGGGGCCAACTTCCATCCTACAAGTGTGATAAAGCAACAGTGGGTAACTGTTGGCCTTCTAGAGGCGGGAAAAGATTTTTACAACCATTACGAACATCATTGAATTTTTTTTTTTCATGAGGGGAGATGTCATGTTTCAGTTCAAGTGAGCCATCCAAGGTCGTCGAATCACCAAGAGATCAATAATCACCAACTGTTACGGACAATATGATTTTAATCAAAAATAAAAACTATGAACACAGGCGGAAGTGAATTTTTTACAGTGGCTCTTTAAATTGGTGACAGGGTAATGCTGATTTATATAATTCCCTTCCACCTGTAGTGCACACTAACGTAGTGAGGGAGACTTGGGTCACTTGCGGGCACCGGCAACCAGGTCCCAAAATCCGGCAGAGGTACAACTGTTAGACATGCGAGGTGTTTTCACAGCTGAGGTCTCTCAGTAACTGTTGGGGTGGGTGAAAATCCGTTGGCGTAGTTGAGAATTCCGGGCATCGGAGGGAGAACTCGGGAAGTGATTTAATAAGCGGTCATGCAGTTGGGTAGGAATGGGTAGGAGTGACTCAGACACTGGGACGGGTGAGCGGGGTGAGGTGGGGTTTCTAAGGGTTAGTTTCGTCACTCGTGGTGTAATCAAAACCCAGACGCGCACCAGGTGACGTCAGAATGAGTGCCAAACACTAAACTTGCCCTCAGAAAAACCGCAGGCAAACGAAACGAGCACCTCCACACCATAATTACACAGAATCACTCGGCCACAGAGATCTCTTACCTGATGCCCAGGATAAGGCTGGCTTCCCGTTTGGTCATCTTCTGCTCAAAACCCCCCTTATAATACGTAGAAAATGCCTGGGGATGAAAGAAGGAGCAATGCCTTCAACAGCCACAAGGAGGCGCTCTCGCACAATACTGCCGGCAACACAATCAAATGCTGCCATTGAGTTTAATTGCGGCCAAACGAACCTGCGACACAGGAGCAAGCTAGCCATCACAAACTAACAAATAATCTGGCCCGTTCTTCCTAGCTACAGGATACTAATGTAGACAGCATGAGCATCATTTTTGTCATTATCAGCCAAACATAATAGAACTTCAAAACTGGCAATGAAAGCTACACCCCGAAGTAAGACAGGCCCCCTGAGTCAACTGTGAGTCAGTAAATGTGTGAGTGTGTTATCCAGTACTTACTGATGATGGCATTTTCTTCACTGTTTCTGTGAGAACTTGACCCAGAGGCTTCCAAAGCTGGAACGCGTAGCGCCCTTAAATTACAGAAAGCAGAGTTACAGCGAGGTAAAAACAAAAGCACATTCAGTTTAACTAACAGAAGTAAATGTGTACCTGTGCCGAAAGCTGGACAAAAACTGCAGTTAGACTCTGACAATTCTCCACTGGAGTTAGTCACACACTGGCATTCAAAGAGAAGATTTTAGCATCTATGGTGCAACGTTGGTCACTCCAAACATGTAAGTGCAGAACAATCCCCCCCACCCCTTCAAAACTCATACTGAAGAAGATTTCACAAACATGCACAGGAAATGCAATTCCCTTTCATTATGTGATCCTAAGATTCTACTTTCACTGAATGTCCGATTCCTGACACCTCATAAGCCTCATTTCCACCAAGTGGTCCAGTTTAGTTCAGTGTGTTACAAATTGGAAGGATTGTTCGTGTGTCTCCATTGTCAAAAGTTGTGGACGGTCATAAAAGAGCTGTTCCAATCTGTCCCATTATTTGTTACGCTGCTGAGCCACTTAGAACACTGATCGCACACTAAAAGGTGAAGCTAGAAGCACTGCAGTCCATTGATTGGTGAAGAGAGGGTCATCATTCTTGCTACGCTACTTACTTGGTTGATGCAGCCAATACCATCCAATAACAACCCCACCTACATTTACAGTGCTGCATGCGGTGGAAACGCAAACCAGGTCTAGGTTTTAGGGACAAGTCCGAACACATTACGGACCAGTTCCTGCGATGCAATGCCGAGAGTGTTTGGTGGAAGTGCGGCTAAGCTAACTTCAAGTAATCACAAGCTACCGAAGAAGACAGCCACTGTGGGGTACAGAAATCATATAAAACAAAGGGGAAAAACAGCTAAATTAGAAAACCTGGTTACCACAAAGCTCTGGCAGTTCGGCACACCACAATCATGACTTTTTAGCAATCCCAGTTGTATATAAGCAAATCTTTATATGTTCCACATTAACACACAAAATATTTTCAGCAGGGTGATATGTACATGAAGTGTAATCACCAGGCTACATTACATAAAATCAGAGTAATTTGCAAACAATTTTTACCGCACTAGAGAGAGCCACTGATGATTGTGTTCACCGCACGGATAAGTTACTCCATTTCAGCCTTGCGGCAGCTTGGCTTGATACCTGGAATTAAACCCTGTTCCTGCACAAAGGACCATGTACTGGCCGAGTCTCTGGAAACAAGAGGTCCTCTGAGCTTCGATCTACGAATCAAACCCGAGGCTCTACTTCTTGAATGCAGCCACAAGCTGGATTAATAGCCTTTACACCCTAACCCAACAGCCTCTGCATTCCAGCCCACACACAGGAGTTGGTATCGAAAGGATAAACGCACACTACATCCGCCAAACTACATGAATAGCCGGAGACCATATGAGGCGCGTAGTTTGCCAAAACAAGTAATGAAAAAATAGACGAGGCGTGTCAGGGAAGCATTTCAGAATCAAGACGCAAAGTAGATACAGCTATCTGAACTCAGGAAAAAACGCACTGTGACCAGCACATACAAGAGCAGCCACCACAGCAGCCATTGCCATGACAGCATTATCATGATGAAGTTGTTCCCAGAGGTTCTCTTCAAGGTCACTATGTCCTTGAATCGTCAGGTGGGGCTGCTCAACCTTCCTCCAGATCCACTCTTCTATAAGAACCTACTCCAATCATAAACAGAAAACACCTCATCCGACAGCTAATGCAGGTCTGCTCCTCCCTTTTCCTGGACATGGAATCTTGGATTGGTTTTTGATCCAATCCTGACAAAGCTTGTCTTTGTTACAAATAGACTGATTGGCCTATAATAATTGATGGACAGGTGGATCCATCCACTATCTAATCCCCTTATTTCCGGTCAGGGTCATGGAACAGTTGGCGCCTGTCTCCGCGTGCTTTAGCGAGAGGCCAGCAGGCATACAACCTGGACAGTGGTTACGACAGTGGTACTATGGTGACAAAAAGGAACGAGGCTTGTAAACAGGGTGTTGATGGTTACATTTCCAGAGGGGTGTATCTGGAGGTTTCTCTGAGCCTAATGGCATTGATTCTCTGGAGGACAAAGCCCATAATCACGAGGGAGACGTCCTCTTTGATGTGCAAGTATTGCCGCTTGCAATAATTACGTTATTTAACTAGCTATAAGGTTTTTCAGTTTTAAACTTTTGCAATGATTTTGAAATTGTTCCAAATAGTCACGCTAGCCATTATCACCAACCATTAGACTTTGCTCGGAGGCACGGTAGTGCAGTGGTTAAGTATGCTTGACTTGGGATCAAGAGGTCCTGAGTTTGAGTCCTTGGCCTTCATGGTGTGTTCTTGGGCAAAATGCTTCACTCCCACTCTGCCTCACTCCACCCAGGTGTACAAATGGGTACCAGCAAAGTGTCAGGAAAACCTGACCCAGAGCTGGGGGAGTACCTGCAATGGACTGGCATCCCATCCAGGGGGAGTAGCAATACTCCTAGTCGCTTCGTGCCACGGAAACTGGGGTTAAGCACCGGCCTGATGGGCCACTAGGCTCTGAACAGACTTACTTTACTTACTTTATTAGACTTTGATAATAATTCTGAATGTAGGAGCATATTGCTCGGTATGGTGATCCGTTTCAGAACATATACTGCATTTAAAGGAAATAAAATGCCTTTCAATAGGTATGCGCCATTTTATTATGCGGACAGCACGAGGACTTCAATATGCCCTTTTGGCTGTTATGTTCAAAGCAATGGTTTCAATTCAAGCTAGAGTAGCATATTGCCTTTTTTTCCTGATGGTGTGATATCTTTTTTGGTATATATAAGGTATATTTCAGATATTACCGTGTTAGCGAGTTATACTTGCTCCTTATAGGGCATTGAAAGTGCTTATTAAAGTTTTCCATGCACTTATTGGCAAAGTGACTACTAGCAGGTTAGCTGCATGGCACGTGAGATTCTCTACTGTTTCCGACAAGGCCACAAAGGGAAGGAACGCTTTGCCACAGCAGAAAGAAACTGAACAAGACGATGTACAAGTGTCGTTCTTGAGATGTCCCTCTCTGCACTGTGGCAGAACACATCTGTTTTATCGAGTAGCATGACCTACAGAAGAGTGGGGCCGTGCAGGACTGAGTATACAGCCTGGTGTTCCTTGTAAACAGCTTTCACCTTTTTTTCTTTCTTTAATTTGCATGCCTCCTAAAGTCCAACCTCTCATCCACATTGTGGGAGGTGGAAAAGCGCACCAATTCCCTGCAGGGTAAACATTCTGACAGTAAAATAACCAATGCTTTAAATGAGCACTTCTGCTGGCTAATGAGGCTCTGGTGAAAAATGGACAAATATCAATACTTTATAATGGAGAAAAATCTTTTTTTTTTTTTTTTTTTTGGTTAGGAGTGGTTTTGGAGAGCATTGATGTCCATTCCGCCTACGTTGTTTGACTGATGCTAATTCCCACTTGAAAACCATCAATTTATATTGAGCTTCATGAGTCAACATGATTGATTTGTGGTAAAATAAGTCTATTTCATGATTGAATGTGTGCCATTTGGTGAGCCATTTGAAAAGCCATTTGGAAAGTGCTCTTAGTTGGCTCATGAACAGTTGGTAATTTTGAATATCACACTCAGATATAAAGTACTTGTGGTCAAGGGGTTTATGACCCCGGAAATGTATTGTTTTATTTCAAAGCCATTTTTTGATTCTCTGTATCTCATTTTGAACATTGAATTTTTATGAAGATTCTTTGCGTTTGCTGCCCTTATTCAGTCCAAAAATTATGAAAATAAACTAAAAATAAGCGATATTCTAAATGCTATGTGACTTGTTTCATTTAAAGGAAACCACTGGAATTTGGATAAATCTTACCTATTGTACTTGTCAGACTATAAAAAAATACTTTCAAGCAAAGTCATTTCTTTCTGGCCTTTAGTTTTGATTTTATTTACTGTGAAAGGTAGGCTGTATCATGGCTTGAATTTCCTGGGGGCCACCATAATTGTAAACTTGCAATGAATCTTGGGAGTGATGCCATCTGGCTGCTTGTCCGTATGAAATACAACTGTAGGAAGAACTTGCGAGAAAAGTGCCATGGAAACTATAGAATACATCTGAGAATGGCTCATATTTTGCCATATGAATTTGAACCAGAATCTTCCTCAGTCCATGTTTAGACTAGGAGCTTCATCAACAAGAAAATGTTCCTTTTTTTAGCTTCTCATATAAACACTACCTGTGTCCTTGGCTAACTTAAACAGCTGACGTGCATTTGCAGCTGACAGTTTTTTTACACATATTGACCAGGGGCAATAAACCCTTTCAGTTAAGGGCATGAAAAAGTGAGATTTGGAGAGCGCATGAGTACTAGACATTTTGTACAGCAGAAGAAAAACTGAAGACCATTAACAAACCTGCAGTAAGGGAGAGGAAGACGTTTTAAGAAGTGGGGGCTGCCAAACAAATGTAAAAGTATAATGTCAATGGGCTCTAAATTCGTACACCAGGCGCAGGCGCGGCGAATGGGGGGTGCGCCGCGCCAACGGGGTGTGTCCAGGCGTACGTTGCAATTTCGTGCCCGGCGTAGCCTGGCGCAAGTACTCCTCTGTCCCGCCTCGGTCCCTCCTGCCGGCGCAAGTGGCAAAGAAGGCGTGTTTGGGTATAACACAGCCGAGTCAAATCTTCACCAATCAAATGAGCTCCTCTCCTCACCTTTAATGTGTTGGAATATAGAAGCCTCTGTCCTATGTCTGCATGATGCGTTAATGTTGCATTTTACTTTGCTGCTTCAGGCATGTTTTCTGCACCGCTTACGTCTATATTAAGCATTACGAATATGAGTTAGCTGGCTAGCTAGGGCATTCGCGAATTATTAACATTAGCGAACTTGAATGGAATTTCAAAACGAAACTACGTCAGATCATTCAAACTTATGAAGTTGGAATGAAATACGACGGTGCTCATTTTTTTCTTCTGCCTGCATCATTGGGAAGAGAAACGATGGATCGCGTGTTCCTATTATTACACCCTGTTGCTGCTTAAAATTTTGGGATTAACATGCATGGACAACAATGCAAGATACGTTACACATTTATTTTCAATATGTGATCTTAACTCAGTACGAGATCATAGCAATCAGGCTGTATTCCTTTCCCCCACTAAAAACGATAAAACCTAAGTGACAATAAATAGTAGCCTAGTATTAAGCCGCTTGCGCACTGGACGCGAAACGAATTTTTCGCACGACAGATTGTGTTGAACGCAGTGTCTACGTGTCCGAAAGTCTGACAGGGTTTTCATATATCTCCGTGTCGGACAGTCGATTATTGTTTTTAATTTCTTCAAATCTACTTAATGTTTTAGATATTAAACGTGAATGTTTTGATAAGAGGGCTCAGTTCTTCAAGATGAGTACCGAGAATTTCAATCAATGTTTCTGTTTAAGCTCTGCTCAATAAAGTGAGTCGACATTGGCGCGGGACAATGTACAATGCCTGTCGGACATTAAATGCAAAATACTCCGTGTCTGACAGCCAAAAAAAAAGGGCGATTAGAACAGATTGATAACGAAATAAAGAATAAAAAACATTTTAACAACAAACAGAACATCCAATGAACACTGCGATTTATTTATTTGCGGGCCATCTTTTTTGGATGCTCTGTTTGTTGGCGATATATTTTTATTCTTTATTTCGTTACAAATCTGTTCTTATACCAATACTTTTACTTTTTGCTGGCTGCCGTACATGGAGTATTTTGCATTTCGCCTCGGACAGTCTTGATCGTGCATGCGATAATTTATTCACACTGTCAATGGTCATGGAATTGATTTGCTCACTGACTACAAGCACTATTTTATCTCCGGTGTGGAAATAAAGCGTGAATCTGTTCGATCCATCTGACTAATTTTCAAAAGAGAGACCGAATAAAGACTGTTGTATATCTTCAACGGAAGAAAACACCACGAATAAAAAAGACCAAGAAAAGTCAATAGCTATCAATTTGCAATTTGTGAAGGTCGAACACAAATATGGCCAAGTTTGCACGTCTAATAATTCCTGGAATACTCGAAAAATTAGAACTTTTATGACTTTCGGACACGAAGATAAAACCCTGTCCGACTTTCGCGTCTTTGCATTGACTTTGACTGTAATCAGTCGTGGGAAAAATTCGTTTCGCGTCCAGTGTGCAAGCGGCTTTACTGAGCATAGAACACAAGCATTATATATTGGTAGTTTGTGGTTGGCTGAGAAAGATGTGAAGTCGTTAGTCTGCATCACAGATTCAGCTGCGTTGATTAAGCCAGGTGGAGTTTCCATAACGCGTGCCAACCGCCTTTAATCTGACATCAGGACAATCGATATAGATACTATAATTTATGTCCTGATTCAGATAGTTACATTAAATAGTGGTTGCTGTAATTATTTATTGCATCGAAATGTACCTGACATTCTGGAAACCTGCGGTGAGGTTTTCGTGACGATGTCGCACTGTGCGCTGGTCAGCCAAATTACCACTGCACAGAAAGTAAACCAGGTTGGAGCTGGCGAGCTCTCTCTGGCGCAACTTCAGCGAAGACTTTTTCTCTGAAAATGGTCACTGCGTCTTGATGAATATGTGACACCTCCCCCTACTACGCCGCCACACCCATCTCGGCGCACGTCCGTCTACCAAATTGCCAAAGTGGCTGCGCACGGTGTTGCGCCGCACGAAATTACCACTGCGTGGGCTGCACCGGACGAAATTGTCACTGCGTGGGCTGCGCCACGCTACGCCACGCTGCGCCAAGAAATTAGAGCCCAATATCATTTTTTTCATCGCAGTATAAAGGCGCTATGGTCATGTTGGACTTTGCAACAGCGTCACAGCAACTGGGATGCAAACCAGTAATCACCGTATAATTCATAACTGGACACAAAAACTGATAATTGATAATTGTTCTGTAGTAGTCTATATTTTTTCTTCATTTAATCCAATTAAGTTTCTTTGAAATGTTAATCTACAGTGGGGTGCAAAAATTTGAGCACCCCTGGTTTAAATGTTACAATTAATCTCTAAGTGATTGGAAGCAAACATGAACACTAAATGCTACAAAGTTAAACATGACACCTTTCTGCAAATTTAAAAGCAAGGTTTCTTTTTATTTCAATTTTTCTGAGTTTTTAAATGATAAGAAAGGAAAAAGGGCCCTGTGCAAAAGTTTTGGAACCATTTTGGATTATTCTTTGTTACCTTTTAAGATGATGATTACTAAAGCCCAGACCCAGGTGATTTACTCGTTAGGGCTTTAATGAGTCAGGTGAATATAATTCCAGGGTTGAACTATATATTCT